AATCGAGTCCGAGCGGCCGTGCTCGCAGGGCAGTGCGCAAACCATTGCACCACCGCACCCCACGATGGAATACGCATACACCGAGACACGTGCACACTATCACTTGGGTGCAGGCTTTTGCACTTGCAAATAGGCTATTGTGGGAATTCGTGCTCCATGGTCTCGTGCAGTCTCACTCGTAAATGACCATACGCTCAAACCTGCACGCACGCACGCGTGAATATGCCCTAAATGCACGCACACACGCACATGCAAGCATTGCCCGCCACATGCCATCCTCATCATACGTCTGCCAACACACGATGCCAAACATCCTGGACTTATTTATAAAACGGTTTATTCGCTTATATGAGTCACGTTTGAAATGTTGCCCTCCCTCTTAGCATTAACCATATTTTCGGAAACGTGAAAATGATTAACATTAGCACTGTATTATTCGTGGCATCTGCCACCGTGTAGTAATGGAGATGAGTTGACCCTGACTGGCAATTGGTTGCAATTTTCACTCTCACGCGCCAATGTCCAGCCAAGTGAGTTTTCCTAACCATCGCCACTGCCAAAGCGGGCCCCTTAATTTGTCATTTCTCCATGATTAACTGACCAAATCAGATTAAACGTGATTAATTGACAGTGCAAACACAATTTTCACGGACGTTTATCTACCGCCCTATGTTATTACATATGCATTTCCTACGTATGACTGTGAGATATGGTAGTCGGTTTGAATGAGCAACTCTTGGCCACCGTGCGGCCAATGCTCCGCTCGAGGGCTGCTCTCTCATCTCACCAGCGCGCGGGGAAATGCTGCTGCTAGCCATTCTCCGCAGTCATCGTGGTTCACGATGGGCAGAAGATAAAAAGTGCTCAACGTTTATTGACTCAAGTGACCCTCTGGGTCAAAAGACGTCAAGGCGCAGCCTTAAAAGTGTCTTTCTCACACCACCGCAGTCCACCAAATATAAGCAGACCTTCATTCTGTCTCCCACGATATACGAATAAATGATCTGTATTAATTCCTCGGCTCCTTGGCTTTCCAGACCAATTCTAGGTTTAAAGCTTTCGTGACTGCAAGGATTACTCTTTGGTTCTATTGGGTAAAGTCACGTAGGTAAAAAATAAAATAACAAAAATCACGACGTTTCGGCCACGACACAAGCGGCCTTCATCAGGTGAAGGGACGAGACTGTCTGGAGGACAGCGCTGTCCTCCAGACAAGAGTATGTTTCCAGACCAATGTCATCAAGCAGCCTTTGCTTCGGCAGGCAAAACTGGATCGGCCTCAACCGTCTGGGACTCATCCCGCACCTGCTATTAGCACGAAAGACGTTCAAAATACACACATCATGAGTCAACCTTCTTAAACACATGCTGCGGGGATTATCATACGTTATTGGCAAGAGCACCCCATATAAAATATAAGTTTGGGTAATGCCTTCTGTAGCGTGTTTCCTTGAGTTTTAGGCCTAAAGCAATGGTCATTTTGCTACGTTAGATATTTGAAGAATAACCTTTTGCCTTTTACAAAAGCCTCTTTACAAAACTTGCGCAGTATTCACAAATGCATAAGCAACAAAACGCCATTGTTCATTGATCACATGAACGCCACACTGGCCTTCGCAAACACATTGGTATATAAGGCCCTTTTGTGGGTTTGAGATGTCTTGAAGCAAGTGGACAGGCAGAATTGGGCTTTAGAGATTCAGGTTTGATGCTAGATAGTTTGCTACACATACCAATGTGTTACTTTTACAGTTGCTTTGAATAATGTGTTGTTTTAAGAGCAGTTGGTGCAGTAAATAGTTCGTTACCTTTTGTTGCCTTTTAATTTTTTTACCTTTTTAACTTTTTCAACTTCGGAGACTGGCGGTGTTGCATTTGGTAGAGAGGCTGGCGTAGCGTGGATAGACCGGTGCTGCATCTCCCGGCCTAGTTTCTCGAATCTGAGTTGGAACCACAAGTTTCCCCTTCAATGCGCTAATGCGGCCGTCTGGAACGCTCTTCATGCACGTATGTATGCAGAACTTCTTTTGTAGCCGTACGTAGACAACCGTGCTAATCGAAGCCACTGGAGCTATGCACTTTTAAATCTCGATTGAAAACTAATTTCTGTAGAACTACCTTTTTGTGTTTAGTTTGCTGTCCTTCCTCCGGACCTCCGATTAGCACGGTTGGCTACGTACGGTGTAAAATAAGTTCAACATACGTACGTACACTGAGGACCACAGACGCGCACATGATGGCAACGCCAAGGTCTGTTGAACAGAACATGTTCAGTGTGCTGAAGTCTGTCGACTATAGAAAAGGTACAGCAACGCCGGAAAGCGAAATGTGTTAAGTTAAACTGTGAATGTGAAATGTGTACTTTGAGGTGTAAAATAAGTGCGTGATAATTTTCACTTTTTGACATGAAATACTGTAATCTACACTGTAACTGAAGTATGTAATTAGTTTTTCGATTTAAAGCTTTCGTGACTGCAGGGATTCATATTCTTGGTTCTTTCGGTAAAGTCACGTAGAAGGAAAATAATAAAATAATAAAAATAAAAACATTATATAATAAAATTCTCACGACGTTTCGGCCACAACGCAAGCAGCCGTCCGTTGTTGATATGTAAATCCCTTTGTCAAGGCTCTCTCCTCCTCCCACCCGGCTTAAAACACGCTGCCAAGCTTAGCAGTGTTCATTAGGACGCTGTCTTTCTGACAGTTCTGTTCCTTCACCTGAGGACGGCTGCTTGCGTTGTGACCGAAACATTGTGAGAATTTAATTATATAATGTTTAAATTTTTATTATTTTATTATTTCCCTTCTACGTGACTTTACCGAAAGAACCAAGAATATAAGATTTTTATTTGTTTATACAATACATATTCATCGATGAAGTGATGCCAATTTGTCCTGAAGCTGAATCAAATTTGGCGACATCGAAGAATCACGTAATTGGTTTAGTCAATTAAAAGTGCCTGATAGAACAAAGTTTATTTTAAATTAAAAAGGAATTTAAATAAATCTATCCTTCCTCTCACTTGCTTCAGTTGTCTTACATCACAGCCAATTAACAATCGCTTTAATTTCGTTAATTGCAAATGTTGTAGCGCAAATTACCAACACAAGTGACGATCGCTGTGATGTAAAGTGAACATTCGCCCCGGGCTTTTGATCGCGCTCATTACACACAAAGCTCTTTTCCACAAATGAACCACAATACCTTGCTGATCTCTTCAAAGAGCATAAACCGTCACGCAGTGAGCCATCGAACAAAGACTATCACTGCATCACTCCCCTTTCAGATGCGCTTCTGCGGCCGTCTGGAAAGCTCTTCCGATATTAGGAAGCCACTGGAGCTATGCACTTTTACATCTAAATTGAAAACTCGTTTCTTTATAATTGCGTTTTTGTCGTGACGTCTCGACGGGAAGATACTGAGGTGCGGGCTTATGGCAATGTCCATTTGTGCAACTGAAGACATCGTCAATTGTAACTACTCTGCCGTTATGTCGCAGTCCGTCAAGTAGAAAAATACCTCTCGTGCTATCAAATTGGAAAGGAAGGCTTACAATTGTGTGTGTGTGTATGTGGCAATAGTTAAACGTGTAGAAGCTATTTTATAAGGCTCTCGCCCAGGAATTTTCCCAATTGTATTTTTTAAAATCTTGAGTCACCAGGCCTGCACATTGTTGGCCTTGCTAAAAGAAAGCATTGTCATTGTGTGATTTCAGTAGTCTCACTTGTATTTAATCTCTGGCTGGTAATGGGTATTCAAGGTTTCAATATTGTACACATGTTTTAACCCCCCCCCCCCCCGCCATTTTCTACACGGACGGACTGTGCAATATCCAGCTATGAATGTGTCATCGTTATACTATATATTGATTCCGATTGGCCACGGTCAAAGATGGTACTCAAGCTTAGCGGGTGCAGCGGGCGGCTTTGTCAACTAATTCAGTATATTCTGCTTCAACTTGCAATTTATTCAAATGCAGCAAAAATTCTTGCAGCTGAAAAAAGATTATGAAAAAAGAAATCTCATTTTATCATTCAACATTGAGGACCGCGATGCCCTTTGACGAAGGGAAAAAAAAAGAAACTTGTACGGGGCGCGCATGACATGGTGCATCACCGACCATTGATCAGAGATTCTCTCAGCCAATGGACATCAGCAAGAGTTCTGTGGTGAGCTCCAGGCTCGAGACAAGGTGAGGCCCTGCCTTCTGCAGGGTGGCTCCCCAATATAAGGCCCTGTATATCAGGCTTGTAGTGTCAGTTGAGTCGGGGGGGGGGGGGCGGGGGGGTAGTGTATAGGGGACTCCACCTCTCTCATTAAAGATCAGCACTCCCTCCCCCCCCACTTATACATTCTTATCATAGTCAAGTCATGTTGGTGCAATATTCCAGAATCAGAATGTTTATTCATACCGGAGGAATCTAATGAGCTATGAAGCTCTTTTTTTTCTTTCGAAGATGTCCAGTAGGAGCGAGTCAGAAAGTTACAACAAACAAACAATACTAAACAAGATAGAAGTGCACAGTGTAGAAAAGGGTAACACATCGCCAAAAATATATATTTTACCAGGTAAGGCCCACTGAGCTATTAGCTTCTTTTGTCAGAAGCAAACCTGGCCACAAATGCGAGCTCATCGAAGTGGTTTATCACGTGGAAATGTATAGCCGCCAAATAATCCGAATTATAAATATTTACACGGGGTGGTGACACCTAGGGCATATAGAAGCAAGCAGATCATATTGTTACTCATTCTGTTCAGCGTTTGTTGAACGCTTGCCTAGCATTTACTGTCATGCCCCTGCACCCCCCCCCCACCCCACCTTTAAACAAGGTCGTGCCACAGGTTTGCCGGTGTATAATAATATAACGCTCACTGTACCTTGAATGTGGTAATATTTATATCATTGTGAATGAATGTTCCTTGTCCTATTCAGGTTTTCTCTGGGCCCCCTCATTCATTTTTCATGGCTTTTGTTTGTGCGCACGTTGCTTGCAGATGAGCGTGAGCGCGTGCAGAAGAAGACCTTCACAAAGTGGGTCAACAGCCACCTGGTCAAGGTAAGCATCATCATCATCATTACTGTCACGCTCGTTTACTCAGGAACACATCAACGCGTCTGCTGGACTCGTTCTCAGGAGGGTCCTGCCGAGATTTCTCAGTCGGGGGGGGGGGGTGCTGGGGTGATGATTTCTGATGAAAGATTATTCCTATTTGAATTCCAATTGAGGAAATTGTGGTGTCAGTTTAGTGAAGTCCTTATATGTATGTGTGTTGAAACTTGCTTTGTACCATTCGTAGCCAACCGTGCTAATCGTAGGTAGTGGGGAAGGACAACACACTAAACATTAAATGCAATTCTGAAGAAATTAGTTGTAAATTTTTATTTAAAAGTGTCTACCTCCAGTGGCGTCCTAATATTGGCAGAGACCCATAGAGACCTACAGAGATCCAAAGACTCATATAGAGCTAAAACGCCCCACAGGAACCCATAGAGACCCATATTCGTATGTATAGCATGTATGTTGAACTTCTTTCGCACCGTATGTAGCTAACCATGCTAATCGCCGGTGGTGGGGAAGGACAACAAACTAGACACACAAAGGCAGTTCTAAAGGAATGAGTTGTAAATTTAGATGTAAAAGTGCATAGCTCCCAGTGCGTTTGTATATCAACATACACGAATTAATTACAGCTAATTTCAATCCACCAATGGATTAAGGCCTCCCGTTGTTGGTTTTGGGTGTGTATTTTGACCATACTTCACCACAGTGGTCAGTGCGGGTTAGTGAATGTGAGAAGAAGCTAGGATGATGTCGGAGGTCACTTGCCACTCGTCCCGGCCGCAGTAGGGAATCGAACCCGGGCTGCATGGTTCATAGCACAGCGTGCTAACCACTGTGCCACTACTCCACCCCATCCATGTGTGCATATGTCACGGCATATGTTTGCAGTAAATTGGGCAGACACGTTCGTGTTACCCTACATGGAGTCGGTTTACCTAGCCTGTTTTTTACATAAACAATACAATGGTAACCTTAGTTCAACAACTAAATGATGTGGGTTTGATAATAAAAAAAAAATCGTAATGTGAAGCCCATTGTCAATCCACTGCTAGATGTATGAACTTCTTTTGCACCATATACGTAGCCAACCATGATAATCGGAGTCGCAAATAATGTACAGCCCTCCCCGTGCCATGTCGGTCATGTGAGTTGTAAAACAAAACAAAGCTTCAAGAATGAAACAAATGCAATTATGTAATGTTCGGCCTTTTTATGTGGGCTATTATGGATTACACAGCGATGAACGGCGGATGACAAACACATCTGCAGGGCAATGAGCCCATTGTAGGAGGCCGTACACAACAATGAGGGGCCCTTACCTTTCTGTGCATCTGGTCGAGCGCCAATTGGGTCGAGGCTCAAAAGAAAGCCGTCCCTTTGTGTGGACCAATCAGTTTCAAGGACAATGCATATATTATCATAGTATGTTTTTTGTTTGCATTTTGACTGCAGGTATTGTGGTTAATGCAGACATGAATCCTTATTATTATGGTCGGCATGTTATAGTGCATCACGCTAACCCTACTCACTATGCTTACTAACTCAAATATTCACACATACAGATATTAGAAGAAACATGCTTACTAACTCACATGTGCACACATACAGATATTTGTACACGCATACTTACTAACTCGCGTGCACAATACAGATATTCATACATAATGCTTACTAACTCACATGTGCACACATACAGATATTCGTACGTACACGTGTAGTGTTAACGATTCGGAGACGGAGTTTCTAGGAGGTGCTTTCTTTATTAACAACTTTCACGGTCTCGTCCGCACACTCTCTCCACAGTAGCTTAGCCTGTCCTGTACACAACAATAGCCGTCCAGCACTGACGGCGCTGACTCAGATAGCCGACTGCTCTCCTTCGTAACGCAATAGCAAGCGGAGACGACCGCGACGATGAGACGACTCCATTCCCAGCACCGGCAGCCTCGAGCCCCCCCACTCTCGGCTCCTTTTATGCTCCCAGCGCGGCCTGGCTCCGCCCTGACCGCGCCTACCTTCTCGAACCCGCTGGCAGGTTCCAGGGGCCTCCAGACGGGGTCTTCCGTCACCCTTGTCCTAGTCCTTCCCCTCTGCCCACACCCCGTGCACGCTCTCACCGGCGTGTGCGCTGTCTGTCCGTCACAGTCACCGCCGCTGTCCACCAGCCGGCGCTGTTACACTACACATGCTTCATCACGTGTACATGGAATGGGATGCATTCAAGAGGTCGTCCACTGAAGTGCCAGGTGGATTATAACATCGTAGGATCGTGAGAGGTGGCAGGGGTTTTGGGAGACCTTCATCCAGCGGTGGATTGACCATGGCTGCTGGTGATGATGATCATGCCTATATAGTGCATTACTTGAAACACGGTGTATAAAGATATTTTATGTTAAGCTTTTTTTTTTCTCACATTTATCTACCACAGATGTGTTTTTTTTTTACATTCTGCCTGGAGGAGTTGTCAGTCATGTCTGGTTGAATGGCATGGAAACCTTCGAGTTAAATACCTCCTTTGATAACAGATTATCTTTTCAGGGGACTAGAAAAACCTGCACCAAAGCTACTTTTGCAACTGGCATTCATCAGCTCACTGACGTGAATTCCACAGCCTCCATTGTCATTACATGAATGGTATTTTCCATAACACAGGTTCTTTTTGGGTTAGATCGCATAAATATAAATGTGTCGTGAGAGCCCACCACCACCCGACACAGCCAATTGGTAAAGGTTTGTCACGTAAACAGAACGTACCGATTAGTGCACTAGTTCAGCACACCCGGTGTGCTGGAGAGTAAACCCACAGCATTTACAATTCGAGTACGATGTTTAGCCGGTAATTACAACCAGCCTCATCAGGTGACAGCCAGAATTGTGACAAACCTTACTAATTGGTTGTGTCGGGTGGTGGCGGGTTTAACGACACATTTATATTTACGTGATCTAACCCAAAAAGCCTCTTTTGGATAATATTGGTTGCGAAAGCCTACTTGTTAAAATGAATGGTATTTAAATTACAAATACAGTTATGCCCATCGCATTCCGACCGCAGGTATTGTGGTCAATGTAAACATGACTCCTTGTAAAAAAAAGTGTCAGTTTTGTTGCCAGATAAAAGGGTAAAAAAACAATGATCATATTTTGTTACTGGCAAATGAGGTTTCCAATGGTGTAAATGCTTACCCCGAGCTCTCATACTCTGATGGTGCATTGTCTTGAGTTGTGCGCCTTTTGGCGTCTTCTGGTCCAACACCATGTGAGACGAGGCTCTAAAGAAAGCTGTCTCAGGTGTGGACCAATCAATTTCAAGGACAGTGCCACATACATTATCATAGTTGTTGGTTTTTGTTTGCGTTCCGACCGCAGGTATTGTGGTCAATTTAAAAATGACTCCTTGTAAAAAAAAGTGTCAGTTATTTTGCCAGATAAAAGGGTAAAAAAACAATTATCATATTTTGTTACTGGCAAATGAGGTTTCCAATGGTGGATACTTAATCTCGTGACGTGACATCGGTAGCAAAATTTAAATACAGTGGAGGTGAAAATTATAAAAATGTAAAGCAATATATAATTGTTTTCCCATGGACTGTTCTCAAATGTGGAGGGGTATAGTGCTATGATGTGATTTTACACTTTGCCTCATGACACAATGCCGACAGCACAATTGGGTATACATGGCTATACAATTATGGGAGTGTCACAAACATTACCATGGACATATGTGGTATGTCCTAGGCATTGCCACCTGCCTTTTCCGTGGAAAGCCGACCAAATACTTATAATATCCAGCTGCTCACTCTTACGAACGCACACTTTTGAGCGGCTTCCATTGCACTTAATTCCTTTAAGGCCACGCCTGCGCATTTCCCTCCTTCACAAGGGCGCCCTTTGTTGGAACCCTCCCGGGTCTCCCGTTCCCACGTGATCCAGCGTTACTCATTCGCTGTGGAAATTCCGTTATTTAAGCAGCTCCATATTCGCCCGGTTGGCGCCCTCGCTTCATCCACTCAGTGTTTCCACTTAGAAAACGGCGATCGAGCGCTGGCGAAGGGGTGGACCTGACCCCGTTTCGTGCCGGGGGCGAGGAACTGCGCAGGGCCGCGCCCACGAGCGAGAAAAAAAAAATATTTCGAAACGATCGCTGCTGGGATGCATCGGTACGGCAATTCCAGTGTGCGCGTACTTGTTGCTGTAAGACGGGTTATTGTTTTCTTGTTTCAAGCAACGTGTGCGGCCAACCACCACGGTGGAGTTCGCTGGTGGCAGTGACCAATAATTCATTGATTCGTTGTGTTATCTTTTGACCAAGTGACACCCCCTCCCCACCGAAATCCTTCATCTCCGCCTGTACAAATGGAGACCTGAATTCCCACGAATGAGGCGTTGCACTCGAGTTAAATCTGGCACGCCCTTGCGGAAACTCGTGAAATTTGTTCAGTATTGCATTTAAAGCAGACGCACTTAAATATTGCATCGAGGCAGTTGCGTGAAAGCAAATCCAGGTTTATTAGCGACACCAAGGCCCTGGCACAAATCTGCGTGACTTTGTTAATTGTCCCACGCTGGAAGGAGTAACTAAACACATTATGCAGGGCCCGTCTAAAGTGCTGTTCTGAGTGATGTCTTTGCTCCATTGACCTATAAATAAGGCTGATAACATCACATATCGATCAAAGCACCACACCAGTTGCGTATGCTCCATTACTTCGAATGGGTCATTGACTTTCGATTTTAATTATGATTTCTAATTGCAAGTAGTTTGTTTAGAAATGTTAAGACACGGCAATAGTGGTATTATCGTTATTCTGCATTGCTCCGTAGCAATCTGGTATGCGGCCCATAAAAGAGAATCCTGCTGCCAGCAATTATAAGTCACACCGGCGACTCGGGGGCATTATGTTCCAGTGTGCCGGCCTGGCCTGCCAATCTGGTTGATTTGGGCCATAATTCATTGAGACTTCTTTACTGTGACCACATGGGCTCTACCCGGGGGT